AAATGAGATCATATATCCTTATAAAATTAATATTTAATATATTTTTTAAACTTCTAATGCCAGAGTCAGAAACTAGAATTTTGGATGACAACTGAGCTATTGTGAGCTGTGACATGTAGGAAATAAAATTTTGAACCAAAAGGTTGCATATTCTTAATCTTGGAGTTTTTAAGTAACAAGACAAAGAACAAAACAAAATAAATTCCAGATCTCAAGTTTAGTTGTAAGACAGATATAAATACTGCAGATTTTTTCCAATCTTCACACAACTATTGTTTATAACTAATATTAAAACAAAAAAAACTTAATGTAATTGCAGGCTTTACAGTAGAAAATTTAAGTATATTAATAAATTTATTATTATTTAAGATTATTCTTCTGTATCTTCTAATGAAAAGATGCCATGCTGATTTACATGCTTGGTCTCACTAAGACAGCTTTAGTTACTCAAATCACTAAATATAAATGTGTGGTTGAAAACACTTTACAGTTACAAAAGACCCAGGACTTCAGAAAGAAATATCTTAGTGTGAAGGATTAAAGTAACCACTGGAGTAAGCTTGGTTTCCCACCATTCTGTTTTCCCCTGAGACACTTGCTAATTGGTAAATAGAAAAGGATAAAGATCCTAAGAAATCAAGCAGAAAAGAAATAACACAGTGTTCAGAAGACCAAAAATTGGATTTCAGACTCAACAAAGAACACATAAAGACTTGATAAGAATTCAAAGTTAAAAGCTAAAATTGCAGAAAGACTATATCACAGGTTTCATAAATAAACAGACATTTGGAAGTATTAAATTCACTCTCAAGAAAATGTAATCCCAGAATGAAGAGACTTAATCTTTTTCAAAACTGAATCTCAGAAAGTCAAGCTTGTTTTATTTCATTTTGCTTTAGATTAAGTAAAATATATTCAGTTTGTTCCCATGCATTTTTAGGGAGTGTTTAAGTTCCATAAACAACCAATGCAGTGTAAATAACTACATAAATCAGAGGACACCATTTAAATGCATTTGAATAAAAACTAAAGTACTAAAAAAACAGACTTTCTTAAACTTATTTACATTTCCATTTTAATTTTTAACACAAAACTAGAATGATAAAGTAGTAGAACTGATGGCAGATGGCAGGACAAATCAAATTATAAATAATAATATAATATAATATAGGTGCACAATCCAGTGTTAATCTTCAACTAAAACTTGGGAGTTTCAAACCTTTTTCTGGGGAAATCTGGCACATTGAATGATAATATTATTACAACAGTCTTTGCAAACAGCCAGTACCCTCTAGTGTACATTATCAATAAAACCCTCAAGTAAAATGAACAGCACTGCCTTTCTTTTTAATGATTATCATTTCTCTGCACTCTGTTTGTTTTACTATTTCCAAGCATGTAATCTAGCAATGATTACCAGGGTGAAATGATGAAACATGCTGGTTATAAATGCTTCATAGCTATGGTTCAATCCATATGAATCTATTCCTTGGTATGGAGCTATAATTCTTATTCATGTTCATGTCAGCTGAAAATTTATATTGATGGAAGAATTAGACATCGAAATGTTTCTTATTCTGAAACTCCGCCATGGGTTATTGATTTAACTGACATTTAAACTATCACAGCATATCAGAAATACACATAAATCCATATGTGTCCTTGTCAGACTCAGTAGGAATAAAGACATAAAAAGAAAATAATAATAACAACAATAATAAGTGAAATGGAATATTATATAAAGTTACTCGCTTTCAGGAATCATCTGGATTAACCAGAATTCCTATTACTTCTGGCACATAGCCCGGAAGTCTAATTGTATGCATTGGGACATCCTCAGAATAACCCAGATGGTACAACTAGTGCATGAAAAATATTTTCCAACTTCAATATTAAACAATTGCTCTGATGAAGTTTACCCTGGTTGTGCCATATAAACTAACACAAGGCAAACATGTAATACACATTTGAGACCAGAAAACAGATATATACAATTCAGCAAGAAAGCTCACTTTTCTGTTTTAGTGAAGGCCAAAGAGCATTGGTGTTGTGATCATTAATTTAGATACCAAACACTCCAGCAGTGCCAGAGTAGCTTAACAGTTTAATGCCCAGCTGTTTTTTCTTTATTGTAACAGTTACATTTTCATGTTATTATGTAAGGAGGATAATATTTTGCAATCTAATTGGTTATCAGAGGGAATTAACTAATCTGAAATAAGTGTATTTGTTTCCTAAAGAAAATTACTATTTCCTGCATATAAACAAATAACTATGTGAGTTGCTCTCATATCTATTTCAAGTTTTCAAGTGTAGATAGCTATATATTATCTTTGCTTTTTAGAGAAAATGCTGATAGGAATGCTTGTTCAAAGGATCTGATAATTAGATTAAGTAAAGTAAGCAGGAAAACACTTCAGTCATAAAACTTGATTTCAAGGCAAGTCTGGAATTGCTAAACAAGGAAGAAGCTATAAAATAAATTTTTCAGGTTATTTTGTAGTCCTCAGTTAAACATATTTCCTCTGCAGCTTGAATACTTGGAAACAATTATTAGAATACGTGATGAAAATTGTAGTAAAGACACACACATGTACACTGGCACACTCCTCATTCCAATTTTTAATCTTTAGACATGCAAGATAGGAGTATGCACTGTTTAATCAGGAAACTTGCATACCTCTTAAAAGTCATTTTACCCCAGCTATAGGTAAGTACCTAGAATCACTTGTACCTAGGCAAGTGTTACACTGCTGGGATAAACACAGCCAAGAGCTGGTAGTCAGTCTGAGCCTGATTAATGTCAAATTTGTGTTAACTATATCAGTGTGACAGCATAATTATCTATTTTATTTTTTAAGATATGTGAGGAAGGCTTGCAACAGTTGGCTGGCACATGCCACCCCGAGTCTCAGGCAGGAGTGGGGACATTTTGGAGTGGGAGCAGCGAAGAAAATGTTTGACAGGGGAGGAATGACTTTTGTGGTCTTCCACAGACCAGGCCAGTATACATACAGGTAGGTCACGAAACTGAAATGTAGTGGCTTAAAGGGGAGGGAGCTAGAGGGCATGTAGGGACCAGGCCAAGGCACCTGTCATGTGGGCAACTGTGGTGGCTAAATAGCACTGCTCACTGCCTACTGCCAAATACAAAAGCTGTGGATGGGGACACATCTGGCTAGGCTAAATCTCAGTACCCACCCATGAGTGTCGGAGTACAGGGTGGACCATGTCAAGACAGGGCACAGCACCCACTGGAAAGCAAGAGAACTGAATATGGGGACAAATTCTGTAGGGACTCACTTCTGTGGGACTGTAGCACTTGCTGGTTCATGCTGAGAGCTGGGGGTGGTGATAGGGTGAGCCACGCAGGACCACAGAAATCACCTGAAACTTGCAGGAGCCAATGCTTGGGGTGGGGTGGGGGTAATCTAGTCTGGGCCAGGCTACAGCACCCACTGGTACATGCAGAGGTCAGGACTGAGGCCAGACTGTGCTGTGTTCCCTGTCAACACACATGAGAACTGGGGCTGGGAGTTGGCCTCATAGGAGAACCCGGTGAAATTCCTTGCTAAGCCAAAGCCAGCTGCCAATAAGGAGCATAGAAGCCAGCGCTGAACATGGACGGGACCAGACAAGGCTGCAGGACTCTTCAACATTTGTATGGGCTGGGTCTAGGACAGGCTGTAACACCTCATGAGCATTAATGAGAGCCAAGACATAAAGAAAGTTATGTTATGCGTTATTAATAGATTTGGCTTCTTCTTGTTTTTAATAGCTTTCAAAAAATGGCTTTTAGGGCAATGGATTTGGCACAGTGACTAAGAGGAAGCTATGGATATAGCTATTTCTTATCTGAGTTCTTGTTAAAGCATATCTTTACAAGTAACAAACGTTGGTCCAAGTGCTTGGCTCCCTGCTGTCCCTGTAAGAGACCATGATTGAGTACCTGCTTCCTGGCTTCAGCTTAGCCCAGCACTGGAAGGTGGAAGAACAAAAAAGTGAATCAATGAACTAGTAAGTATACACTCTCAAATAAATAAAATAAATTTTGAAATTCTTTTAAAATGTGAAACTATATCCAACTGCAATTATTAAAGTTTTTTATAAATTAAAATAACACTGTCATGTCTCTGTATTATAGATAATGACAAATATCTTCCACCTGGAACAAGAGTGGTGAGATGCACTCTAACACCATAAGTTTTTTCTGCCAACTTCAATAAATAATTTATGATGAATGTTGATGCTGCCATTACTCTAGAGACACTAGGTATGCATCCAGCGCATATTGCTGAAGGAAAATTCAGAGACATATTGAGGGAAATGATTGACATGAAAAAAGATCAAATTGCACCAGAAGAAATAAAATGGGCTAAATTTTTCTCATGAAAGGAATCTTTAGAGACACTTCAAAATAATGAAATAAAATTCGCCTTGGACTATTTCTATGTAACCTGTGAAACAAGATCATATTTCCCTGCATTTAGAGGGATTCTGTATGAATACTGAGGAAGATGAACCCTATAATATTTCCAACAATATCTGGTATCAGGATGCAGAATATTGGATATCAATAATAAAGTAAAAGAAGAATAAGTAGTTAATCAAGGGGGATAATCACTTACTTAAAGGACTTATATGGGAATGTAAACAACTTGTTTGTTTTAGTAGCAAGGATATATTAAGTTACAGTCCCTTAATGGGAAAGGTGTGGTGAGACTGGGTGATAAAACTGAATGATGGACTACCAGGGACTGCATGCTTGGTATAGTCATTTAGAACTCAGATGTATATGCATACGCTTAATGCTTGCAATTTTCCATGTAGTTGACAGAGACATCACCAACGTTTCTAATATCTCTCTAAATAAGTCTGGATGTGTGTTTTAATTTAAAAATCCTTGATTTTTTTTTTTTTAATGAGAGAAAGAGATAGAGAAAGCTCTTCCATCTGCTGATTCATTCCGCAAGTGGCTCCAATGGCCAGAGCTGAGCCAATCTGAAGCCAGGAGTCAGGAACTTCTTCTGGGTCTCCTATGTGGATGCAGGAACCCTGGGTTTTGGCCATCTTCTACTGCTTTCACAGACCACAAGTGGACTGGATGGGAAGTGGCGGAGCAGCCGGGACAGGAATCAGCGCCCACGTGGGATCCTGTCAGTGGTTACAATGCAAGGATTTAGCCACTAGGCCACTGTGTCATGCCCCTTTGATTTTATATGGTTGTTCACAGACGAGGGAATCTATTGTTTTCCAAGATGAGCACTATATTTAGCCATAGCACAAAGGTCCAGGCATATGTAAAATCTAGCACAGTAAATTGTCCCATACCTAGCAGTTTTTGTGAGCTTCAGAGTTAACCAAGACAAAAATCTTACATAGACTATTTAATAAGCCACAAAGCAATGTATAAGGTTCATAATAACTCAAAAGGTTGTTTTATCTTCAGAGCAGTTGCATTGCATGAATAGCCACAGAAGCACCTAAGCTAACCTGTCAGAAAGAACACTGTAGATTTGCGGCTTCAGAGTTTCACAACTCAGGCTCTCATTATCAGATAAAACACAGAATATTATTGGCGTATTTCAACTTGATAACATCAGTGTTTTAGCAATTAGGTTCCTTTTTATCAATTATATGAAATGTTTCTCGTAAATTGTTTTCTTTTAACCTAACTACATAAAAGATGAAGTGATTCAAAGTATGAGGAATGACTGATGTGGACAAGAGAACAACTTAAAACTTGGACCAAGAAATGGGCTTTAAGCAGTAGCCAACTACTGATTTGCTTAGCCTCTTTAATAAGACTTATTTCTCTTAGAAGTAAATTGTGGTATTTCATGATATTAAAGTGACAATATTTTTTGAAGCAAAAAAAAATCTTTGAATTATTAATATTCATTTGTTGATTTCCTGCCAAAAAAAAACAGCCTTTGAATGTTATGCCTCAGGTTGAATTTTGGCAGCAAGTTAGGGACTGGGATAGGAAACAGTGTTGAAGAAACCATAATGCATAGATAATAATAATAATAAATTATAAACCAAAATAAAAGAGAAAAAAAGCCATAATGCAGAGATAAGGAAGCCAAAGCAAAAATTACATCAGCAGTATAAAGCCCCAGACCACACTCACAACTGAAGATGCTAGTTAGAGTTCTGTCTATAAGGGAGGTGTAGCAATGATTTTATCAAAAGTAGTTTTAGTGTAAGTGGGGCTTTCAAAAATATAATATGGAATACACAAGTAAACAAATCAAAGGAAAATATTTATGAACATCCAAATAATCAAGGAGATTTTTGATCCAAATTTGGTACTAAGTAGAAAATGCTACACCAGAAAAGTTAACATTTTATTTTTTTTTTTAAAGATTTATTTTTATTATTTTTTATTGGAAAGGCGGATATACAGAGAGGAGAGATAGAGAGGAAGATCTTCCATCCGATGATTCACTCCCCAAGTGAGCCGCAACGGGCCGATGCTATGCCGATCCGAAGCCAGGAGCCTCTTCCGGGTCTCCCACGCGGGTGCAGGGTCCCAAAGCTTTGGGCCGTCCTTGACTGCTTTCCCAGGCCACAGGCAGGGAGCTGGAAGGGAAGCGGGGCTGCCGGGATTAGAACCGGCGCCCATATGGGATCCCGGGCGTGCAAGGCGAGGACTTAACCACTTGCGCCACCGCGCCGGGCCCAACATTTTATTTTTAAAAGCATTTTTTGTCTCACCTAAAAAGGTAAGTTTCTGTTTGTTTACTTTTGAATAACCAAAACAGGATTTCTTCATTTTAACAATTTAGTCTGTGAAATTTAACAGAGTAACAATATCCTGTTAGGATTAATATGGTGGCATATTTTTTCTCTTTGTTACTGCTGAAGTTATAGCTGTCTTTCAAAACTACAAGTAATTCACATGAAAGAAAGACTGTAATAAAGTGATTACCTTTTAATTCTGAAAGAGAATAAAAATGAAAACAATGACATATGTTTAAGAAGGAAATTAATTTAAAAACTATTAAATTATACAAACTACAATTAATCTGTGGGGTTTTTGTTTAGATAAAATTGGCATGGATGTAGTTTCAACAACATTTTCTGATACTATGATCAGGAAAGCTAATAGTGTGATACAAATTTTAGGTTTCAATGGAGAGTCTAACCCAAAATAGAATTTTAGGGTGTGTCATATCAAAATCAGGAAAAAGGAGGAGACCTTTTGAGAGAAGTGACAAATATTTTCTGAAAGAAGAGGGAACAGAATAGGAAAAAATATGGAAATGCCAGATTTGAAACTTTGGATCAGTCCATATAACAGTAAGCCTTCTAATATTTTCCTTGTAGCAAATTTCTAATGTTAAAGTTTTCTTTTGGAAAATGGAGATTGAATATTGTCTATTTGTTGGGTTTTTTTTTGATGAATAAATAAGAAAATATATCGGAGCTTTTCACACAGACACTAATACTCAGAATTTTGTCAATAGGAGATAATGTGGAGAAGCAAATAATTAAATTCAAAGATACTGTCAGAACCCTGGGATAAGTGCATGAACATTTTGGAACAGGATATGAAATAAAAGCATCAGGTAAGGAATTCCATTTTTAAATGTCTCCATTAAGGAAAAATTGCAGATTACATATAAATCAACAAACAACAATCACCAACTGGCTTGTTTATGTAAAAACAAAGTAGCAGACTAGCAGATTTCACAGTCAAATGTAGCTAAATAAAAGGATAATTTTAAAAATGTTTTTTTTTAATTTATTTGAAGGTACAGCATTCAAGAGAGAGAATTGTCTAGTATGCTCTCCAAAATGGCTGTAAGGACTGAGGTAGGGCCAAGCAAAGCCGGATGTTAGGATACTCATCTGACTTGCAGAGAGGTGGCACGGGCCCAAGTGCCTGGATCCTTCTGCACTGCTTTCCCAAGCACTTTAGCATGGAGATTAATCTGAGGTGGAAGAAAAGGGGCTCAAACCAGCACTCTCATAAGAGAGTGCCTTGGAGGCAGTTTTTGTTTGTTTGTTGTTTTGTTTTGCTTTTTAGCAGTGTTTTAACCTGCTTTGCCAATACTATAGCCTAAGTAATTGCTTTTATGTCTACATTAACTCATATACTCAATACCACTCAGCAGATAAAATCAAACTGGATACTAATGGTTTCATGAATAAGTTATTATTTCAGGTTTTTTGTTTGTTTTTTGGTTATTCAGTGGTTTTAGCAAATATATCCAATATTTAAACTTCACCCACTAAAGATTCAGTATTTTCGTGTCTTTGGAAGGAACCTATGCTCACTAGTTGGGACTCACTAAACACAAGGGTACTTTGAAAATTTCATGCAAAAATGGAAGCAAAATTAAGCTGATTTGATGGTAAAATAATTTCAAAATTAAAACACAGATGTCTAGAAAATGAATTTTCACAATTTTTTTGGAAAGCTGTCTCCTATACTGAGTTGGAAGAGGTCAATCTACAGTTTCTTCCACTGTGGCATATAGCCCCCATGGGTCGTGAGATGGTCCTGATTGCCATGTCACTGGTTCAGTTTTGGTTGCTTCTCCATGCTCTTGAAGTCTGAGTCCTTTTTTGTTCATTGACTTCTGTTAGGTTTTCTGTAACTTCCCAACTTGGTGGGTGTCTTTATACAGCCCCCTGCTGGACAAAGCCTGTGATTCATCTCAGATTCTATCTCCACCTGCTGCTTGGAAGCCAGTTCTGCTCTATCATTTTGTTGCTGTGTTGGCTGTGTAGCTCTCAACCAGGATTATATCACACAGACTTGCAACTCTGAGTGACTGGGTTGTGACACTTTCCAAGAGTTTCCCCACTACATGACAGAGTCTCCTGACAAGATTCTAATTAAAGTAAGAACAAAATCAAAATATGTACTAAAGACTGAGTTTCTGTGTTTGACTAACCCAGCTGTGGTCATTACAGACATTTAGCAGGTAGGAGACCTCTTTATTTCTGTGTGTATGCCACTATAGCTCCCTCTGTGCTTTTCAATTAAAAAAAATCAAATTTCTTATAAATTGCTTTTGCTAACTTACCAGGAATTTTCATCTAATCATACCCATCATTGGTCCCTATCTATTCCAGTTTACTTACATTAACCCTGAACTCAATTCAAAATTTCCTCTAAAGACAAGCAGCATCAACATTGTATAGGAACCTCATTCAAAGATAGAATTGCAAGCCTCATACTAGAATCTTCTTAATCGGAATCTTCAGTTTTCATAAGATGCTCCTGGTGGTTCCTCTGAATGTTTAAGTTTACAAAGAACCAGATGTCAAAAAAGAATCACAGGGACAATGATCAATGATCATGCCACCAGGACTAGCGAATGCCACTAGTATCTCACGATCTTGTTCCTTTCCACGTCTACATTGAAGCTCTTCTTGTCCAGCCTGGATAACACTGATGTTTGCTGCTGAAACGGTCTTGACAGTGCCAAAGTATCTGTAGCACCATCTACTGCCATATCTTAGACACTAATTGTATCAATATTATTTTAAATTTATGTTTACTAATATAAATGGAACAGATTTTTTATACTTCATGGATAATACTCTATGAATATAATGATCTATTTTTCTCTTGTGCTCTTCTTCATTCTTTCTTAATCTTTGTGATAACATGATTTTAATTTACTTGGTGGTCATGAACTTAATGTTATACTAAATAAAGGGATCAACAAGTAAAACGTAGAAAAAACACTGTCTATCGGTGAAAGAGGTGATGCCTATAAACATAATCAAATCTCAAGATACCAATTGCACTAATATACATATGATTTTTATACATTAATATACCCCAAATCAAAGAAAATTTGTCTTTTGGGGTCTGGTTTATTTTACAACCTTGTTCCTTTTTTTTATAATTGCAACAGGCATTCTCATAGTGGTGAGGTGAAATCTCACTGTGATTTTTATTTACATTTCCTGAATGGGAGTGATACAAATATCTGTTGATGTTCTTTGTCCGTATTGTAATTGCATTTTTTTGTTTTGTTATTTTTGAATTTTTGAGCTCCTTAGGTATTATGGATAGTAAAATTGTGTTAGATGCTTTAGTCCCATTCTGCACCATCATTAGCAGTAAGGGTGTTGAGACTGACTTGTGTTTTCATAGTTCCAATCCGTCTCAATGCCAAGGTGAACCAATTGAATTGCTGCTTAGATTAACACACAGTACTGGCATACTTCATTCAGATGCACTAATCATACAACATCCCTATGAGCTTCATACTGTTAGTGTGGAGCCCACTGTGAGAGGTCTGTACTTCTAGATTTGGACAGCACTAGTGCCCTGAAGCCCGGCCACACCCACATGCTTCTTAATTCTGTAATCTGTGCAGAGCCCACACAATCACAGGATTCCCACAGTCACACAGCCAAGTGGATCTCTTTTCAGTACAATAAGCAGCCCTGTCTCCAGAATTAGCCACTTGACAGTGTAAGTTGGAGCTCCATCTTAGCAAACCCAGCCTGGTACTTTGGAGAGGTAAGGAGAGGGAATTTATGTGACCTCCTTTTGTGGAGCTAAGTGGATGTCCTGACCCCCACTGCTGCCCCCAGTTCTCCAGGCCACATTTTGTCTGAGGAATGAATATGCAGTCCCACTGACAAAATCAGGTTAGGCATCTGGCCCACTCCAGCCTCCTCTCACCTTGCTCTAGAATGATTACCTCTGCCATCCCTGGCTGTGCAAGCTGTTGGTGATGCTGCTGGCTGGGACATGTTTGTGTGCTGTCATTACTGTGCCACAGAGTCTCTATTCTATTCTGAAGGCTCTAGCAAAAACTTTTCTCCAACTGTATTTTGGGAAAGGGATCTTTGCTTTGTTTATCTGATAAGTTCACATAGTTACAATCTATGTGTCTTCTTCCTGCTCAACTACCTTAGCTACTCCCCTCATACCATATCATCATTGTTAATGCTATTTGGAAAAGTAGTGTTTGTGAAATTACATATTTTGGTTTCTTACCAAAGCTACTCAGCTCGAGGCTTAAGAATGATGAGTACAAAGCAGCTAGTCAAAGCACAATGACTTTCAATCATTATACTTTAATTAGGATTAATTCTCCTCTCAAATATCAAGCAATTATCTCCGATCAAACTTAAGATTGTACTTTTCCTTCTGTGGACAATTTATTTCTCTAGAGAGTTCCCTGGTGTTAAAAATAAGTTCCATGGTGTTGTGCTACAGTAGGCAATGCCTCCAGGTGTGGTAACACTATCCCCCATGGGTGATAGTTCATGTCTCAGTTGCTCCACTTCCAATCCACATCTCTATTAATGTCTAGGGAAAGCAACAGAAAAAGGCTGAAGTGCTCGAGTCCCTGCCATCCACTTAGCCAGCTGGATTAGCATAAAGTTCAAACAAATATAGGCCTACTATCCTGATTGATATGCCATCACATCTGAATTCTAGATGGACACCATTTACTGAAAAACCAACTTCTTTAAGTATTGCAAATATTTTTTTAATAAGACTTGAAATAGCCCAAATCACCATTTGGATGTTTATTCTTTATTTTGCTTTAAGGAAAGAGATATTTTGACAGACTAAAGGGTCATTTCAAGTCTCAGAATGATGGTGTATAATTTTCTACAATTTTGGTAAATTGTCCTTTAAAAAAAAAGAAAGAAAATCATCTGCCACTGTTTTAGAAAGTAAATTTAAACAGAAATCTTCAAACTGTTTTGTTGGCAATTGTAGGAAAAGGTGTATTTTATATTTCAGGGCATAAAGAAGCTAATTTTTTTTTAAGATTTATTTTTATTGCAAAGTCAGATATACAGAGAGGAGGAGAGACAGAGAGGAAGATCTTCCATCCAATGATTCACTCCTCAAGTGAACGCAACAGCCGGTGCCATGCCGATCCAAAGCCAGGAGCCAGGTCTAACACACGGGTGCAGGAACACAAGGCTTTGGTTCGTCCAAGACTACTTTCCCAGGCCACAAGCAGGAAGCTGGATGGGAAGCAGGGCAGCTGGCATTAGAATCAGTGCCCATATGGGATCCTGGCCCGTTCAAGGCCAGGACTTTAGCCACTAAGCCATGGCAATGGGCCCATGATTTTTGTCTTTCAGGAGCAGAGATTGTGTTTTGAGTAAACGTGTATATTTAGTTTTCTTTTTTTTTTTAAGTGAGATAACATAGCTTATAATGGCAGGAAATTAATTTAACCAGGAAACAGTGAAATAAACTATAAGAGCAAAATTGATCAGTCTTTATATAGTGACTTTAGTGTCATTATTATGGAAATGCAATTGAAGTTTAGAATGCGAAGATGTTGGACCCAGCACAGTAGCCTAGTGGTTAATCTTCACCTTGCATGTACTGGGATCTCATATGTGCACCGGTTCATGCCCTAACTGCTCCACTTCCCATCCAGCTCCCTGCTGGTGGCATGGGAAAGCAGTGGCTCAAAGCCTTGGGATCCTGCCTTCATGTGGAAGACTTGGCAGAGGTTCTGGGTTCCTGGCTTCAGATCATTAAAGCTCTGAGCATTGTAGTCAGCAGCAAACAGAAGAGATTTCTGTTTCTCTTTCTCTCTGTGAATCTGATTGTCCAATAAAAAGAGATATATGTTTTTTAAAATGTGGCAATATTTTTTTTTTTAAAGTGGCTACTGGAAGACCTGGAAAATAAAAATGAAGTGCTACTAAAATTAGAATATAGGGTCCAGCACTGTAGCCTAGTGGCAAAGGTCTTTGCCTTGTATACTTCAGGATTCCATATGGAAGCTGATTCATGTCCCAGATGCTCCACTTTCCTTTCAGCTCCCTGTTTGTGACCTGGAGAAGCCATAGAGGATGGCCCAATGCCTTGGGAACCTACACCAGTGGCAGACCTGGAAGAAGCTCCTGGCTTCAAATCGGCTCAGTTCCTGCCATTGAGTTCAGTTGGGGAGTGAAACAGTGGATGGAAAATCTTTCTCTCTGTCTCTCCTTCTCTCTGTAAATCTGCCTTTAGAATAAAAATAAATAAATCTTAGAAAAATATAAACACATTTTATTTTTCTATTTTGTTCTTGTCTTTCAATGCCCTCGCTTATAAAAGCCCTCACTTCTTTTTCATTGATTTATCCTATTTAGATATCTTTGTTGACACATTGCCATAGCAGAAATTAATAACTACTGTCAAATGTATCCACATTGTGATATATCTGGCATATTAATACAATTCTGAGTCATTTTGGATAATTGAAGAGGCACCAATTTTCTTTGTCTCTTTAGAAGATGGGGATGACTTTCAAATTGAAAATTATATTCTACTTTCCTAGTATTTTCACTTTTTAAAATCAGATTCATTTAAATCCAGATCAACAAACAAAAGAAAACTAAAATGCAAGCCAGATGTTTATCACTGGCCACACTAAAACTGTGTTTACCTCTGTTGAATATGTGCATAAAATGAAAGATGTTTCAAGACAGGTTTAAACTTTTTCTTGCATCATCAACATAGTGGAATGTGGGTTCTATGAATAGCTATTCTGTGGGAAAATGTTTGTATGAGGTATGTTTTCACATGGTTATGGAAAAAACAGAATTAAAGAAGCTGGCTTCAGAGGATGGCAAAGTGGCAAACAGGCGAATCCTCCACGTGTGAGCCTGACATACCATATGGACACCAGTTTGTGTCCTGGCTCTTGTGTTTCTAACCAGCTGTGTGCTAATGGTCCTTGGAGGCAGCTGAGGATGGGTCAAGTCCTTGAGGCCTACATGTTCGGGAGACCCAGAAGAAGCTTCTGGCTCCTTGCTTCTCACCAACCAAGCTCTAGCTGTGGGGGCTATTTATGGAGTGAATCAGCGGATGAAAGACCTCCTTCTGTCTGTCTTAAATTCTTTCAAGAAAAAATAAATCTTAAAAAAAAAAAGTAGTTTTAATGTAAAACTCTCTGAAATCCATGTTAACCTTTTATAAATTTTCATTTTTTATTAATATTTTGTTGTACCATGTGCAACCCTCTAATAAGAGGAGTTAAAAACTGAATTATTTAGCCACTCAGAATAATCACCTCTATTTTTCAGATAAAAAATTGGTTAGTTGTATCTTAAAAGCACATCTTGGCTACCAAACTCATTGTCTTAGGTTTTAGTCTGCACAGTTCAGGTTCTGTATGCTGAAAAGAAAAAACAAAACAAAACCATGGACCAGGGTTGTAGCACAATGGGGTAAAGTACAGATCCAACTCCTAGCTGCTCAGCTTTCATTTCAGCATTCCTGAGACAAATGATGGGCTAAATGCTCAAGCCACTGCCAACTGTGTTGGGGATCTGAATGGGGTTCCTGATCCCTGGTTTCAGCCTGGTCCAGCCCTGGACATTGAAGGAATTTGGGAAGTGAACTTGTGAATGGAAGATCACTGTGCTCCTTCCGTCTCTCCGCCTTTCAAAATAGAAAGGGTAAATTTGTTTTTACTAAGACAACATCAGTGTTTCTTTGTGTTGCTGGATTTTACATTTCTGTTATTGTAAAAATTATCAAAATGACCCTCATGTACATGCTTAGAAATAACCTTTAATATGAGGGACAGGGCCCATTGCAATAGTGTAGTGGCTAAAGTTCCCTTTTTGAATCCGCGAAGATCCAATATGGGCACCAGTTCTAATCCTGGCAGCCCCACTTTCCATCCAGCTTCCTGCTTGTTGCCTGGGAAAGCACTCAAGGAGAGCGCAAAGCCAGGGGACCCTGCACCTGCGTGGGATACCCGGAAGAAGCTTCCAACTCCTTGCTTAAGATTGGCTCAGCTCTAGCCATTGCAGCCACTTAGGGAGTGAACCATGGGACGGAAGATCTTCCTCTCTGCCTCTCTTCCTCTCTGTATATCTACCTTTCCAGTAAAAATAACTAAATCTTAAAACATATATATATTAAGGACAATTAAACATATTTTACCTATGACCACAAATTTAAAAGGCTTTAAGGAAGTCTAGCCTCATTTATGAATGCATCCATGTTTTTCTAGTTGATAGAATAGTTTAAAAGTATATTTTGGAGCCCATAAGACCTAATGAGGGACTATTATTAGACAATTAGAAAACATTTCCTCTAATGGTTTACAAAGTATGAAGAACTGTGTTTGCTTCATGACAATACAGCAGAGCATTTTTCTGTTGCACTCAAGGGGTATTTTTAAGAGACATTTCACCAAGCTGTAAGAAATAAGCTATATTTCCTCCCTGTTGAAAAGATGAAGGATAGTGAAATTGGAAGGTTAAACGGTTTGCTCACCATCTCGTGCTAAGATATTGGCGAGGAAATGTAGGAGAATAGCCTCTGGACTTTAAATCTGTTGCTTAGCTACTGATCCACAATGTTCCCAATTGACTTGAACTGCAGACTACCAGAGAATTGGAAGATTCAAGAAAGTTCATGCCTCCAGTAAAATGAAAAGTGGAAAATTCTGTCAACAAATTGCTCTATATACAAACCATCTGATCACCCTCATCAAGTAGATTCTTTTATCATAGCAGCCAATTTGTTTCTGAACTTTTATTTAGTCCTAAACAAATTTCTGGGTGATATTTTGTCATACATACCAATTACAAAATATCAACTTTAGTTCATTTGAAAAAATTTTCCAGAGGGAACTTTTTTCAAATGGCTTCAAATTAATTTAATCTTAGTTGAAATAAAACCGTGGAGAATGATAGACAATATGTGTTATTATGTAGAATTAATGCTTTTTGAAGCTATTCAGGTACTAAGTATTATTTAAAATACATAAGATATATAAAGTTTGATTTAAGTCAGAATAATTTCACCAGAAAAATATTTTGATTTTAACATTGGTATCCTTCCTCTTGGAAGTAATAATAATTTCAATCAATTCATGATCATTTGTTTTCATTTCTTTTTTAAAAAGACTGATTTATTCATTTTGAGAGCGGGGTCAGGGAGAGACAAGAGCCAGGAGCTGTTTCTAGCTCCCTCACATGGTTACAAAGGACCAAGCACTTATGGAATCTTCTGCTGCCTTTCCCAAGCCATTACCAGGAAGCTGGATTAAAGTGGAGCAACTTGGGGATATAAACCGGTGCCTATTTGGGATTCCAGCATTGCAGGTGACAGCCTTACCTGCTAATGCAATGCCAGCCCCGAGATTTCTGTGCTTGTCATTAGATTTACCTCCAATGAGATGTATCTATTTACACCTTTATCCCCTCCTGGCTTGTTTTGATCAATAACAGTTGGTGGTAAAATGAAGAGTGGTGAACTCTACCATTTTCAGCATACATCTCTTTTATACAGATTCTATTTTGAACTCCACTACGATCCCATTGACAACCTCTTATTATGCCCTATTCTGTATCTCCATATGAGAATGCACAAACATTTTGGCTGAAAGTATGGACAAGAAAATACCTTAGAACTGCAGATTATCAAGTTATTTAGCTCTAAAGCCGAACAAAAGGATTTGCATTGTGGTGCAAAGGTTTAAACAACTGCCTAAGAAAGCAGCATCTCATGTTGAAGCTTTGGTTTAAGTTCTTGCTCTTATGTTCTCAACTAGAAAGCAGTTAGACAACTGATTGCTTTTTTTGCTGTGCAAGATTCTTTAGCTTAATGACATGTCATTTTCTTATTTTTGGCTTCGTTTTCTGTGCTTTGGAGGTTTAATGAAAAAAGAAAAAGGGTCCCTTTTCATTATCTTGAAACATTCCCTCAGTTTTCTCCTAGTAGTTCAAAAGCTTTTAGTTTCATATTTAGGTCTTTAGCACATTTTCATTGGACTTTTGTACATGGTGATAATTTCAATCTTCCATACACTGATATTCAGTTTTCTCATAGTCATTTATTGAAACATTTTCCCTTTCTTCCTTGTGTCTGTTTATTTTGTGCATGTATCTGTCTCTATGCTGGTAAGCTGTTTTCATTATTATAAATTTATAATATAATTCAAACTAAAATCACTTGGCATCCCTGGATTTATCTTTCTAGATAATATCAAAAACAGGAGAAAATGAAGAGAAATAATGTGGGGGGGGGAGGAAAAGGAGGAAGCTT